CTCTCTCTCTCTCTCTCTCTCTCTGTTTCTTACCCCTAGTAGGAGGAAATATTTCCCATCCAGGTTCAAGCCTTCGACTTTGCTTGACACAATTATGGTCTCGCTTCACATTAACGAAAAAGAAAATGGGTTTAGGCTGCGTGTCCACCAAGGCATAAACAACCCGCTTTTTTGTCGGATGGAGTCAGTTCGGTCTGTTCGTTTCCAGCATGAGTGAACAGGTTAAAGATTAAGGAACCCAAGGCAGGAATATCAAGCCATGAATGACATATAAAATATTAGAAATAATAGAATTGTTAACACGCGTTTTCAAACCGGTGGTGTACTCGGATATTTTGATAATTTTGAATTAAGCGCTGATTACGAATATGACATTAAACTTCTCAACGGGACCTGGAGACAGAACAGAAATTCTTTTTAACCACGACTGGGCTCAGCCTGAAGAGTCACCACATGACTCGAGTGAAGTGCCGCATACATGCAAGCCTCCCAACCTATAAGTTCTTATACTACTCTGAGCGTTTAGATTCGAGCCGATCCGCATTTTGTCGTGAGGTGTCGGATCGTGTTAGTGGATACATTCAAACAGAATTTTCACAGATTTTTAAGTCAAAATTAGTGCTCTATTTCAACTACTGATTTTTCGAGAGGCAGGTGCCTTTGGTCGGTTGGTATTTAGTTTAGCTGACACACGAGCTAAATGAACTAATGGTGTTTCTCGTATCCCGAAGCAATGACCCCAGGCGTGGGTGTTTTTTAATATTGAATTCGACCCCCAAGGCAGTAAAAATTAGAGAAATGATCTACTTTACTCCAAAAAAAAAAGTTTCAGGCTTAGCCAGATCAATATAAAATAGTTGCTTTCGTCTAGTATTCCTCCTTTTTCTCCGTCCTCCTCCTTCTCCTCCTTCTCCTCCTCCTTATTTCCCTCTTCACCCTCTTTTGTTATTTTTCTATTTCTCCCCCCTCTCCTCCTCCTCTTTTTTCTAACCTGTCTCCCTCTCCTCCTCCTCCTCCTCTTTCACTCATTCCTTCTTCTCTTCCTCCCCCACCTCCATTTCAATCGTATTTCTATTAGACTCCTGATTGTGTATTTAGCTTAACATCATTGTTAACTATCTAGGTACGTGAGTGTGTGTGTGTGTGTGTGTGTGTGTGTGTGTGTG